GAACTGCAGATAACAGTCAGCTGAAGTGGCTGCAGTACAGCACTCTAACCACTGCGCCACCTCTTCTCTCGGGCACATCACAAAAAGACATACTGCTAAGATAAGGAGTAGGGCTAAGGCAGTGCCAATAGAAGACTTGCTTCTATGGGGCCACCAATAGAACCTGCTCGGGCGTGTGGCCAACTGAGTTACTACCTACTCCGCTGAACCGGTCTGAACCAGTAGGAACTCACCTCTGCTTCACACCCAAACTGGGGACAATTGACAACACAATCATGACATGGATGGTTACCTATCTTCAAGAAACTTTAAAAGATTACATTTTTGTAACAAAACATTCTTTACTCTTAAAAAGAAAGAAACTTGAAAAAATTAAAAGCAGAAAGCTAAAAACATCAACTCAGAAGAAAAAGAAATAAAAAATCTATCTTATACAGTATTTTATACTTAACAATAGTCACTGGTTTAACAATGAATTTCACTATTGCAATATGAACAGAACCGGATATTATTGTAAACCATTACAGAATATCTGCTGTTAGTAATAGATATAACTGTACACTTTGATTGGTAGAAAATATTGCTTTTTTCCCCAAAAACTGATAGACAACAGACTTCCAACGATCCTTCCTTCACATCGGGAATAATATTACTTTTTCCAATTTCTTAAAATAATTATTTTTACCACCCCACATCTCAGTACAACCACAATCCCTGATCTACAATCACATTCCATAGCGTTGGCATATAATTCAATACTACATTAATGTTTAAAGATTTTACAATAGTCCACATTAACAGGCTATCCCAACAAGATACTAAATGATCACCTGGTCATATTATGTGAGTCGGTGAACCCTTACACCATTAAAAAGTCTGATGGTCATGCTTTCAGGTACATTTTTGGGGGAGTCCAATACTAACCCTCACCCAGGGAAGATTTTAGTTGTCCCCATAGGCCAGTGATGGCAAACCTTTTTCGCCTCGGGTGCCAAAAGCAACAGCCTCCCCCACCCCCCCGAGGCCCTCCGAGGCCAGAAACAGCCTGTTT